GGACTCCCCGCGCCCGGCCCGCCGGCGCCGAGGCCGGAGCAGGTGGGCCTCGCGGGGCGGCCACGGAGGAACCGGGGGCGAAGCGCGGAGAGGACCCCCTAAGGTCCCCGCACAGAACAGAGCGCGCGGAACCAGCGCAGGCCTCGGAGGCTCCAGCCCAGACGAGACCCGGGTCTTCCAAGCAGGGTGGGAGGCTGCGCGGGCGGGCAGCGAGGCGACGCCCAGGGACCCGTGTGAGCCCCCCATCCCCCACCCCTGTTCCATGCCCCGCCCTCACTCGACGCCACGCCCTGCCTCATACCGGCCCCGCCCATACTCGACGCCCCCCCCCACCTCTCCTTGGGGGGGCCCTCCCCCGCCCCGTCCCCTCAGGGGGCGCTTCCCTTGGGTTTCCTTCGTGCTGGCCCATTCTGTAGGCCGGACTCACCCACAGGAGCCTCCCCAGCTAGGATCAGCCCCCACAACGCCAGGGCCCTCCTGGGCTCTTCCCATTCTTAGGGCCCGAGCACACCTCCCAACACCATCGTTTGAAAAGCATCTAATACAGTGAATTACTTGATAAACCCTGATTATTTAGAGTACTTCCAAAAAGGAAAAGATGTGGCTCAGAAAGCAAGCCCTGTTTTAAGAACCTAATCTAAGAAGAACGAGTGAAGCAGCTGAGAAGTGAAGAAAGGTAACTACCAGAGATGGCGGTCAAAGGAAACGGCTCTTGAATAAAAACAATGAAAAGCTGAAATCTGAGCTTCCTGGCAGCCACAGCGAAAAGGGTATCAATGAGGAATCCCTCTCTTATCCAACAAGAAGTACACCAGTTCATAAGAACAAAATATTTTTCTAGCAGTCAACTCTAAAGGGAATACTTTTCACTTAGATTTTTACATAACTGCTAGTGACTGTACAGTGAATGAGGAACAAGATTTTAAATGATAGTTTTACAAAAACAAGGAAAAAATGCCAACCCTCTCCAGGTCTTTTGATTTATCTGCAATAAAAGATGACTATAAAAACTGAAACTCCAAGATGATGGCTCCCGGAGAGGTGCACTCACATAAACTAGGTGTACAGCTCACTTATGATCTTTTTTTTTTTTTTGACACAGTCTCACTCTGTTGCCCAGGCTGGAGTGCAGTGGTGTGATCTTGGCTCACTGCAGCCTCTGCTGCCCCAGTTCAAGCGACTCTTGTTCCTCAGCCTCTCAAGTAGCTAGGATTACAGGTGTGTGCTACCACACCTGGCTAATTTTCATATTTTTAGTAGAGATGGGGTTTTGCTATACTGAGCAGACTATTCTCAAACTCCTGACCTCAGGTGATCTGCCTGCCTTGGCCCCCCAAAGTGTTGGGATTACAGGCGTGAGCCACCGCACCTGGCCTCACCATGATCTTGATGTAAGATAAGCATTCTGAAACCTAATGGACTGATCCATTCCTGTGCTCCCTGAGCGAGGCACTCAGATGCCGGTGGTGTCCCCACACCCCTTGTCTCCTGGAGGCGTGTGGCAGGCGCGGGAAGGTGCACCACCATGCAAGTTGCCAGTCAGGGTGTGCCACTGGAAAACCCACGGAAGAGAAGCATGCTGGGGGCACTGCAGACATTTTCGTCTAAAAATTACATGACTGTGCTTGCTCCCTGCACAGTGGCATAGGGACAGGCTCTCGTGCTGTGGGGAAGGCACGGCGTCTCCTGTGCATTCAGTGTCCCCATAGTGGTCAGCTGGGCCCACAGTCCTGTAATGCAGTGCATGCAAGAGACGATGGACGTAAAGGATATTTTGAGGACAACATGGCTTATCGCAGCAGCCCAGAGGGATCTTCACATCACTGTAACAGACTCTGTAACTTCATGGAGGGCAGTATCCCTACAACACGCCAGGACCGTGAGCAGAAGAGTGTCCTGCCAGCTAAGTGAGTTTGCCTACTAAATGCGTCTGGGTAACATTTTCCATGGAGTATCTGCCAAAAGGGACAGCTTTCTTCTGGCATAATCTATAGCGGCTTGTTCTGTCACTAACAGGCCACAGGTTTCCTAGCTTCTGGAGAGCAAGACGCAGCCCCACGTCAAGATGAGGAGTACATGCATGTTTCTGTCTAGAGCCAAGACCCAACAACCCAGGTGGGAGAGGTCACAGAACCACATCCGACACTACGCCATCCAAGACTTCACACAGCCCACCCCTTTCCGCCTGTTTCTGACAAGCTGTGAGGCCCAAAAGCACGCAGAGTCTGTGAATGAAGACAAGACAGCCTGAGGTGCTGGGGCTGAGGTCTCTGTCCTGGCTTCTGGGCACAGCCTGCCTGGCTTCAGGACAAACAAACACAGGCCCTAACCGACAAGGTTACCAGCACTAAATCTCCATTTCTCACAAGGCAGTGGCAGGAACCCAGGACAAGACAAAGGGCAGGCCCTCAGCCTGATGGGCCGGGACCTGCAGACCCAAAGGCGCAGCAAGTAAGGAAACAAGGGTGGAAACCAAGTCTCAGAGACTGCGCAGCCAGGAGGGGCCGGGCTGAGGGCTGAGCACTGGGAGTGCCACCCCTGCCTGGGTGACAGGGCCCTGGGCAGCTGATCCAAGTCGCCGAGGGCCGCCCCACAGGGCAGGGCCGTGCAAGGTCCTGAGTGCCAACACCCAGGGGTCTGGTGCCAGGCACAGCAAAGGCAAAAACAAACAGTGTTTTCCTCTCTCTGCAGCTTCCTGGGAGCCACAAGGTAACGGATGTGTGAGCCCAACATGTTCAAAACGAAAGCTGGCAAATTGAGTGTTTCCAAGAGAGACCACGACGATGTTGGCCATTACTTTTCCAGCTCCACTTCTAACCTCTGGGCTTAAAACTGCAACCGAAGGAAAGCCGGGCGCGGTGGCTCATGCCTGTAATCCCAGCACTTTGGGAGACTGAGGCGGGTGGATCACTTGAGGTCAGGAGTTTGAGACTAGCCTAGCCAACATGGAGAAACCCATCTCTACTAAAAATGGAAAAAATTAGCTGGGCGTGGTGGCAGGCAGCTATAATCCCAGCTACTTGGGAGGCTGAGGCAGGAGAATCGTTTGAACCTGGGAGGCAGAGGTTATAGTGAGCCAAGATCTGCCATTTGCACTCCAGCCTGGGCAACAAGAGTAAAACTCTGTCTCAAAAAACAAAAAATCTGCAGCTGGAAAAGCCTAAAAGGTCTCCTTCTTGCCGCGCCAACCTTGGAGGGTCAGAGGGAGAGGGGTTCCATCCTTGCTTCTCCTGGCCTCTGGCTGCTGACGGCCCTGCATCAGCTCCCCAGCTGCAAGGCTGTCTTCAGGGATTGCTCTGGGCCTTTTCTTTTTCTTTTTGAAAAACAAAGGTAGGAATCACGAGTAAAGGGTGGCCATTGCTACCTTTTTTCCAACTTTACCGTCTCAAGTCACTGTTGCCAGGCCATCCTGACAGCCTACCTGGGGGTGGTGGCAAGGGGACCCAGACAACAGGGAAAGAACGACTCCTCAAGAGATCCTGGACACACGTCCTCAAGTAGCAGTTTGCGAAGAGAAATGCCTGTCTACTGGCGCAAACACCTTTCCACTTCCTGTGAGAACACTGCCCTGGCTTAGTCCTGACACGGCCTACGCAATGCTGGCTCTTGGCCAAGTGAGCCTTCTACCCTGGAGTCCAGCACAGGCCTGCCCTTGGGAACGTAAGCCACATGGACAACTGGGCACAACAGGGCGTCAGAGTCAACCTCGGACAACAGGGCGGGTGGGAGCAAGCGCCAACGTGTTTCCTTATTCCACAGATTAAGGAGGCAATGAAGCATATTTACCCAAAGTCATTTATCTTCATAAGAACACAATTAAATTTTCTAGTTAAATAATCTATTTATCTAATGATTGTTTTTCAAAGATTTTCAACAGGGCTTGAAAGGATGAATCCATTATTCCCTAGTTATCTCGTTTTTGTTTTTATGGTTTCCGATCCTTTAATTAGGAAGCCAGAAGATAAACGTAGTCAAAAACCACATTTTGTTGATATTCAAATTAATTAATGTAGGCCGGGTGCGGTGGCTCAAGCCTGTAATCTCAGCACTTTGGGAGGCCGAGGCGGGTGGATCACGAGGTCAAGAGATCGAGACCATCCTGGTCAACACGGTGAAACCCCGTCTCTACTAAAAATACAAAAAATTAGCTGGGCATGGTGGCGCGTGCCTGTAATCCCAGCTACTCAGGAGGCTGAGGCAGGAGAATTGCCTGAACCCAGGAGGCGGAGGCTGCGATGAGCCGAGATCGCACCATTGCACTCCAGCCTGGGTAACAAGAGCAAAACTCCATCCCAAAAAAAAAAAAAAAAAAAAAAAAATTAATTAATGTTTATCATATAGAGTTTCTTACTTTATATTGTTACAGATCATCTAGGTCCAACTTTTATTTGAAAATTCTAAATTCCTCTGGTGCTCCTTAAAAAAGATCAACATAAAGGGAAAATCCCCTGAAGGTAAAAGATGCTATGGGTGACTTCAGCTTTCCACGCTCAACAGTGAACTGCATGAAGTAAGAGGACACTGCACGGTCTTTCATTCATAAGATATGCAACAATAGCAATTAGAATAACTTTTTCCAAAAGAGATTCAAAATAAGTTATTTCCTTGATTGCAAAGTTGATGTACAATTTCAGAAATTTTGAAAACCTTGGAAAATCAAGGAAATAATGTTTTACTAAACCAAGAAAAGTTAACAGTTATTTAGTGGTATTTACCATGTAACTGCAGAGTGCTTCCAAAGCCTTAAACAGGGGCTACAGTCACATTCCCACTTGAAGTCTCCCCCATCCAAAGCCTTTTTTCCTGTCATTGGCAAGCTTTTTAACCATCATTTTTACTGGCTGTAAAATACATAGGTACGGTTCATTATACAGTGTAACAATGTGCTCACCCACCCCTCCCAGGACAAACTTAGATAAAGGTATTACAATATGGAAAACTGGGAAATAAATTTAGTTCATCCGCAAAGATGTCCGTCTTTCCTCCTGCCCACACTTTACCTTCCGTGTCATCCCCGCTGGAGACCTTCTCGGGGCTCCTGCAGCTGCTGGGCTCTGGCCAGGAGGAGACGTAGCCCTCGGGAGGCCCTGGGGCCGTGTAGAGCCGCCTGGTAGTAGGGGTCTCAGAGCCAGCGTCTGCTACACAGGAGGAAAATAACAGGAATCAGTAAGTTCCATGAAACACAGCCAGACATTTATTTATTTGCCCTGATTACATCAGCATTGTTTCTCTAAATTCATTCAAGACATGAAATCAAATAGGTCAATAAAACGTAACCACTGTCATAAATACTGATTTTAATACATCAAGTGTTTTGCCAAAAAAGCAAGTCAGCTGCATATCCAGCCAAGAAAAAAGGAACTACCTGTGGTTATTTAAATTCACATTAAATTACTTATTACGTAAACTTCTGGGTTTCTGTAATACAATATAAAAACATAACTAATTTATGAGTCTCAAGCAGCAAATAGAAACAGTCCACATGACACAGCCTTTGTCATCACACCAGGAGTCCCTCGGGATTTTAGGACACACACTTCTGGGTCTTTTTGTCCACGCATGCTAACAACATGTATACACTGTGTGTGTGTGTGCGCGAGCGCACACACACACACACACACAGACACACATGCACACAGACACACAAACACCCAGAAAACACAGAGACAACATACACAGATACACACACATAGACAACACAGAGAAACACACAACATTTATGCACGCAGACACACAAACATCCAGAAAACACAGAGATAATACACAGACACAGAGACAACACAGAGATACACACAAAAGACACATGCGCAGACACATAAACATCCAGAAAACACACACGCACACACACACACAGACACACAGAGACAACACAGACACAGATACACACAAATACACAGACAACTCACCCAGAGGCACACAGACACAGACAACATACAGACCACACACACAGGGACAACACACACAGACACAGAGAGACATGTACAGAGTCAGAGAGATACACAAATACACAAGTGCACGAAGACACACATACACCTTCACGGGATCGTGTCACATGCTTTATTATTATACGTTTACATAAGTTGTACATTTGTATCTTACATGTATAATATCATTTAGAGTGAATACCGTGTGTTAAAATGACACATGGTAACTTAAATCTGCACACTTTTAATGGCTCCATCACATCCCAGGCGATGGAATCGTAACCAGGACTTAACCACTTTCCTCCATGGCCACGTGGAGCTGACCATGGACGGCTGCTGGGGCCTCCCCTGCTGTGTGCCCCTCTGCGCATGTGGCTGCTTGGTTCCTGCACAGGGAACTGCTGGTTTAGGGGCAGAAGCTTTTGGGCTTTTCATGCACAGTCTGGAAGGCAGTAGGGCCACTTCCTCTCAAGCTGTTGTCCAACGCTGGGCAGCCTCTGCCTGTTTAGTCTTGTTTTGCAAGTAGAATATGGCAGTGACTCTCTTGCAGGTGACAAACCCAAGTGGACATCCCAGCTGGAATTTCACGGAACGATATGCCTTTTATTTTGAAAACAACAATGACAGATATTGAGCAAAATCACTAACACACGCAATAGAATGTAACTGTAAAAATCTTGAAGCCCTTCCAGGTTCCACTGTCATCAATACATTCTGTTCTCTTGAAGGTAGGGTGCCAGAACCCCAGTTCTTAAACTAATCTGATTCACTGCGGCTGATTAATTACTATGCTATTCACTGCGAGAGTCAAGGGCAGATGGAAATGGCTTCTAAGCACACTGTCCCGTTGGGGAAATCAACATTTGATAATTTTTCACAGAATATTTTTGGAAGCTTTTAATCAGCTAAATCTTTCTTAATAAGAAAGTTAAACAGAACTTAGAAATATAATTGTTCACTTAATCATTGGGATGGACACAGGAGGATCAGGGAGCACCCCACTCATGCAGAGAAAACAAGGACACAGCTAAGAAGAGAGGTCCAGGACATACCGCACCAGGGACATGATTCCGGTCTGTGAGGCACCCGTGGCCAGGGCTGGGATTCTAAGTGGCACATGGGGCCTCCTGCCACAGTCACAGGCACCAGGCAGACACAGAGGAAGCACCCCGCGGGGCCTCAGCCTGCCTGTCTGTGAATCACGGTCACCATGTTAATCCACAATGGCCTCCGGTTCTGACTTTTTATGTTATTTTGGGTTAGTTATGGTTTACTGTGAGGGCACTGATGCCTTGCACAAGCTGAACGTTACCTGTCTTGATCAGGTGCAAGGAAGAGACCAGTTACCTTTTGTGGGTAACCCCCCATATAGGCACCGAAGAATGACAGCTGAGCAGAACCCTGGCACAGATAGGGCTTGAGGAATATCTCACTTTATAGTGTTACTACTCAGCTATTTCCTTTTATATAATCCTTTACATCATCATATATGAGTTTATAGAAGTAGGGCTTGAAGACCCCCTTTATCTAATCCTCTCTATATAATCATATAATAGTTGATAGTATGAGTGCCTAAAGAATATTTCCCTACATATACACCTATAATTATATCTTAGTTCATAATCGGAGGAATGCCTAGAGTGGACACAGTACGGAGCATGAATTAAGGAATAAGCAGCTTATAATCAGAGGAATGCCTAGAGCGGACACAGTGCAGAGCATGATTTAAGGGAAAACAGTTACACCAGGACAAGAATCCATGGCCCAGGCGGCAGCATTCAGTATCGTAAAGATACCCGCCGTATGGCAGGCTTGGGGCGAGAGCCACTCCTCCTGATAAAGGAGTTGTAGGACCTTGCTCCAGTTCTTGTGGAAGGCTGCCCTCGGACCGGCAATCCACCTTGGTGACTGTGAACTTTATCAGCTCTTGCTACTGTGCTGCTTGAAAAGCATCTTCCCACAGAACCCATTGGAAACCGCCAGGGCGGTAACCTTGACAGCTCTGTCACTGCTATGTGACTTAAAGCATCCTCCTATAGATATCCTTAGAAGTAGTTTGCTCATAGATAGAAGTATTGCACACTGCACGCTACTCACTGCGCAGGGCCCACCTTCAAGCCTCGGTGACCTAATGGGGCTGGACTCCTTACTGCACACGGCCCTTGCCTTCATGGGAACGGGCCCCTTGCTGCGCACTGTCCACCTCCTAGCCTAGGTGACCTAATGGGGGTGGACCCCATGTTTTATTGCTCACGACCCTATCACTATCCTTAAAGATGATTTCACTCACTGCCCTGCCCCCTAACCTATACACAATAAATACTCACGCTTCTGGACATTCAGGGCCTCGCCTGACTCCACATATAGGTGGCGTGGCCCCCTGAGCCCAGCTGCGTTTTCTTTGTACTTCTGTGTCCTGTCTCTTTATTTCTCGGATCCTTCGCCTCAGCACAGCATAAGGCTCACCCCACGACCCCGTGGGGCCATCAGCCCTATATCTGGCTCCCAACGTGCCCTACAACCTTTATAGGGTGGGCAGCAGCGAGGATTCCCCTGACGCAGAGAATGCGGCATGTGTGAGCACGGCTCCCCTGGACCTGGCATCTAACAGTCACTACCCTCCAGAAAGGTCACCCTAAATCACATTCCTTTGTTTTTTTTTGAGATGGAGTCTTGCTCTGTCACCCAGGCTGGAGTGCAGGAACACGACCTGAGCTCACTGCAACTTGTGCCTACCAGGTTTGAGTGATTCTCGTTCCTCAGCCTCCTGAGTACCTGGGGCTAGGTCAGAATGCCAGCTCCCTGCTGAAAAAGTCACAAGCACCGGCATCCCTCGGGAAAGCAGAGGAGCATGGTGGCTCAGAGCCCTGCGGTGACAGGCAGTGGGTGCCCTGCGGGTTCCACCAACATCACCCCTTTGCAAGTGTCATTGAACCTGGCTCCTTTCTCCCCGTCACATTCCCCTCGGCTTCTCTGGGCTGCTCCTGGCAGCCAACAGCTATGGAGAGGCTCACAGCCAGCCCCTGGCCTGCTTCAGGAGAGCACTGGGTACCTCCCAGCCCTGTGCAGACCAGACCCTCATCCATTCCCTCGTGGCTCTCCCGCCATCTTTCAAAGTTCATCATCTCTTTCCCCACAGCCCTTGCACTTGCTTCACTGAGAAAGCAGAGAAATCAGAGACTTCCACAGGCACCTGCCACGAGGCCAGCTGTGAGCAGAACCTGCATCTGACACAGATCCCTGAACACGGGCTGAGACAGTGCAGCAGTTCCTCCCTCTCTCTCTCCCCTTCATCCCCTCCCTCCCATCAGCCTCCACCTGTGCTGCTCCTCCCACCCTCCACTCCTCTCCTTCCTCCCCATCAGCCTCCACCTGTGCTGCTCCTCCCACCCTCCTCTCCTTCCTCCCCATCAGCCTCCACCTGTGCTGGCTCCTCTCACCCTCCACTCCTCTCCTCCCTCCCATCAGCCTCCACCTGTGCTGGCTCCTCCCACCCTCCACTCCTCTCCTCCCTCCCATCAGCCTAGGCCTGTGCTGCTCCTCTCACCCTCCACTCCTCTCCTTCCTCCCATCAGCCTCCACCTGTGCTGT